CGTGGATCATCAGGAAACTTTTCACTCTGCTGATTTGAAACAAGGAAAACATTCTTTAAGCCTTCAGTAGGATTCCTCTCAGCTTTTTTGTCCTTAGTGGGAGTTAAACATGCACCACCTCTACCTAGGAGTGGTCATCCTTCATGTTCCTCGTGTACCCGTCTCAAACATCTGTACCAAACCGTCACGCCCCTAATAAAAAGTTTATACCATATTGCTGCCAGTGAGTCATCATAAATGTCACACACTGGAGCTTTAAAGGCAGAGAGGATGAAATGTGTTAAATGTTGAGTCAAGATTGACTCTGACGTGAATTCTTCATCCAGTTAAGAATGACTGTGTGGTACAGTGCTATGTTACTGCTATAAAATGCCTTATGTCATTAAATGTGAGGGTTTAATGAGTAAAAACCACATTATTGACTCTAAATTTCCTAGCCGTGTATTGTCTTTCCGTAACAAAGTCAATTCCCACTCCATTTGCTTTTCCTCGAATAGATCCCTTCAGCTTTTTTTTTTAGCCGAAAGGAAAATGCTGCCACAAAAGAAACAATAACTTCTGAAAACAATCGCAGCGCCAAATTCGGTCACTAAAAAGACAGGGCCAAAATAAATCAGCGTTTCAAGAACACAAGGGCTTGAAACTAATTTCTGCTTTGCAAAAACATGTCATTTACCTGCATATTTACTAAAAAGCACAAACTCTTACTCAGCCTTTCATCAAGTTTTCCAGCAATTAACTGGCAAAGAAAAAGCTCCTCGTTTCTGCCTGGAAAACACGACTCAGCTGTGAGACCAAGTTTCAGGATCTGAATCCTCTGAGTGTGCAGATGTAGAGCCTTCATTTGGCCTGAATCACCGATAATCTCACTTCAGCTGACTTAAAGTTAAAGTTGTCCGTTACAAAAATAAGATTAAAGCATACGTTTGTCTTAAACTTCATTGTTTGGATGTCTACAAGGTAAATGTCTGCTATTACAGCTAAGTGGTTGGTGTTTGAAAATTGACTCTAGATATCGCATGTCATCATTTATAATTAATACATTTTTAAATGAAACAAGTCGCTGAACTTATCTACAACCTTTGCTTTTCATAATATAGCTTTCAGTCAAGCTAAAAGGCTATTTGTATTGATTCACGAAGTTACAGTTTAAGCTTTCTTTTCATTTCACTAAAGCACTAAAACTTATTTTGGTCTAGAATGTTTGAAGTTTAATGATTCGACGAAAAGCCCGAGTCTAAATTGTCCAAAGCTGATGCCAAAACCATTTCAAACAAGCCAACGGGATTTTATCTGTTTCGATCTGTCCCAGTCAGCGTTGGGAATGTTACTGTAAAAAAGTAATTAGTTATAGTTACTGATTACTTTGTCAAAAAAGTAACTCAGTTACTTACAGAGTTACAAGGTTATAAAAGTAACTAATTACCAAGAAAAATAACTTCTTTGTTACTTTTTTCATTAAAGAATGCAAGAAAAAATGGGTTCCCCTCTCGATTAAACTTACTTAATTTAACATAAATGACTACAATACTGAAGTATAAATGACTAATGACTGGAACTTAATAAAAAGTATGTCCAAATGTGTTTTATAAAACTGAGTAATTGAAATAAATGGGCACTTAACAGAACTACAAACAGGAACATTACACTAATCTAGACTTAAAATGTCACAGTGTGATATATAACAAGACCCCAATCAGCTAAAATTTATAATTGCAAATAGAAACACCTGTAAAGGTTCCTGAGCCTTTAAATGGTCTCTCAGTCTAGTTAAATTACAGAAATAAACTTAGTTTTGCACAGGATTCTAATTTTTCCAGCTTCACATGATTGTGTGTTTTTGTAGCGTTTCTGTTGCTGGTAATCTAGTAATGGCTAAATAAATAAATAAAATCCTTTAAAATGACACTAGAAGATCTGATGGGGGACTTAAATTTACTAACTTGGGTCAGACCCAAACACAGAAAAGCTGAAGCTGGATGGTGAAGACACACAGGAAGTTCTTAGAACACCTGAGCGCCCATGATGTTCGAGACTGATGCAACCAGTGTTACAGCGGGACTAAAGACATGATCAGAAACAAGTTGAATGATCTAGGAAGGTAGGAGATCGGGACATCTGAGCGGTGAGCGGACCTTCGGGTTGTCCCACTGTCACGCCAAGAAGGGCACGGCTGCAGATTCAAGCCTGCAGCAGCGAATCTGCGGGTCTGTAGACTATTCATCACATCTTCCTCGTTCTTCACGGGCCGTGATGCGCTTGGATGAAAACATCCGCCTTTTTAGCTCCCAATCAGCTGATGACGGCTTCAACACACCGTGCTGCTGAATTAGTAACGCATGTATTTTTTTAAATCAGTAACGGAAACGCTGTTATGATAAAAGAAGACGTAATTAGATTACTTGTTACTGAAAAACAATTTTTTTTAGTAACGCCGTTATTTTAAATGCCATTATTCCCATCACTGGTGGCAGTATTATCCCGCCCACTGTGATTGGCAAGACACAAGACTGGTCTGGCCTTCTGAGGCTCCTATGGAGCATGGCTAGGCCGACCCCCAGAGCGGTCTGTCTAGGTTTCTCAGCTACTGGCTTCTTGCCTCTTAGCCAAAATAAAATTCAAGCACTTTAAGGGGAGTTCTCGAGACCTTTTAACACCTTTGCTGTCATGGGTGATTCTGCAGGTTGAGTGCTTTGCAGTCTTGTTTCTGGTTTTATTGTAATTTTGGTACTTCCTGTTTTATTTTGTGCATTCACTTCCTGTCTCATTACAGGCAGCTTCACGACATGAGGCTCCTCACTAATCTGCCTCATGTCTTGCACCTGGGTCCTGGCTTCTCCATTTAAGCGTCTTTGCAACAGTTTCCTTTGCCAGTTTGTCTTCTTCAGTTGAGTACTGTGAACCTGCTCTCAGTAACACTTTGTGAGAGTGTATTTAGTTAGTTTTGGACTTGTTCAGTTGTGCTGTACTGCCAGGAATCCCTTCTGCTGATTAAAACTGTGTGAGCTCTGCATTTGAGTCCTCTTTGTGCTTTGATATTTGCATTGAACATAGATGAACCAATAAAAATTCTTAAAACATGGCAAAATGTTGGGTAACAAATTGAAGGATTTTTACATTATTCTAGTAAGAAATGCAGATGTTTTACAGCCAAATATGAAGCTCTATAATCTCTGTAATAATAAATCAGTGTCTGAATGCATTGTAGCCAGTGGGAGTGCATGGAAGGCCAAACAGTTAAAGTAAGCTGAATTTAACTAAAGTGAGAATGCAGAGAAAAGCAGACGGCACAGAGCTGAACGTTTTACTTCTGAACACTGGTGGAAAAATGCTGAATTTGTTTGTGTATTCACTCGTGCTTCAATTGAGAGGGGGGCCTCTTGTGCAGCTACTCTGGAGCCACTTAGATTTTAGATAGATGGCATTTAATTTGAGAAAGCTGAGCTGAAAAGCCTGGCTAGTTTGCTTTTCTAAAACAACTTCATCAAGAAGCTAAAAAAAAAAAAAAAAAAAAAAACACTATCCCCGCAACGACGGAAAAGTGGCTCCAATCTCTTAAATAAATCCCAGAGCCTGGGAATACGATAAGAGCCACATCCTTCAGCTGATGAGTGGCTCAAGGAGAAGATTTAAAGTAGAGTGCAAATTCACCTACCCCTTAAAAGTCCCAACATACAAACAACTTTATTCTGAAAAACTAATCGGTAACAGCTTTCGTAATAATCAATGCTGATAAAATGTCTCGCTTTTGATTTATCAACAGTAAAAGAAGTCAACCTAGCCTGACAGATATGTTATACTGGTGCCTATCTCCAGCGGTCAACGGCAATCAGGCGGGGTACACCCTGGACAGAGAGCCAGTCAATCGCAGGGCAATGGGTCATTATATATTTATATTGAAACTTATACATATAAAATATAACGTTACGTGACTGCCGCAGAAGTCACGGTCACATGATGCACGTCTTGCATAGCAAGACACCGCCTTGCGAGGCCAGGCACCTGGTCATTGAGAAACACGCTCTGTTCTCCCATCCTCTCCTTCTCCCTCTGTCGTTAGTAAGCCTGTCTTTGACTTCCTGGGTTTTAATGGTAGAGCTGACATTACCAGGGAGGCCCCAGTGGGGTTTGCAGTAGGTAAGAGCCATAAAATCTGATGCACTAAAGCATTTCTCATTCCAGGGTTTTTCCAAAATCAGCCAAGAAGAAAAAGCTCAAAAACAGTTTCTAAGAAGACTGAGTGAAAAGAAAAAACAAAAGCAAAAGTCAATTTCCATACATTCAGATTTCCACTGTAGTTTCACTTGCTTAGAGCCAAAAGTTGAGACGTGATGTTTGAAAGGTGAACTGCCTCCAAATCTAATTTGTAAAATTTTAGGTGAATGACTAATCTCTCTTTTTATTGCATGATGCATAAAATGATTTATTTAATTTTTTTTACTACAGATTACGTTTCAGACTTTTTCTAACATGGATGCAATTATATGTTTGGTCATCAATCTACATAAAAAATAAAATAAAAACTCCCAGGAACGAACCAAAATGAGATTTAAGGAGTGTTTGGAAGACTAAAATATTCCCAAGTGGGTTTTTGGAATGAAGACTTGGCACATCTTTAGCTTAGGAGTTTCTCCTATATTATTCATGGAAAACTCAAGGTCAACCAGTCTGGATGGATGAATTGATGCAGAGACACTTTCAAAGATTTTCATTTTTTTTCTACTTTTAGATGTTTTTATGGGATTACTGTGGTATTTTCCATAAAATGCACCATGCTTTCAATCATTTCTTTTGTCTAAAAACACAAAATCAAAGTAAATTTAAAAATGCTTCCTGGGTTTGTGGAGGTTTTATAGGTGTAAAACGCCTTTAATGCATAAACCTATTAAAATAATGAACTCTAAAGTAGCATTTAGTGTAACGAGACCAAAAACAGAAAATAAATGTAGAATATATATTTATCTTTAGGAGGGATTATCCTGTCAGCCATTCAGTCCTACCTGCCAGGCAGAGTCCAAAGATGGTGAGGAGAACGAGGACGTAGAGGGAAACAATGGCATATTTGATGGCTGAGAGGGAGTTAAGGAGGCTGCAGAACTGGTCCTGCTTCCGGCGACGCTTCACAGAAACTATTTAAAGGGAAATAAAATCACACAAAATAATAGTTACTGCCATGTATGCCCAGAATGCGGGAAGGCAAAACTCGGGATACGTCTGTACGGTTGTGGTCAGAAGTTTACATACACTTGTAAAAAATATAATATAATGGCTCTACTGAGTGTCCCGTTATTTCTAAAACTCTGATTTTTCTCTGCTAGAGTGATTGGAACAGATACTTCTTTGTCACAAAAAACATTCATGAAGTTCGGTTCTTTAATGTCTTTATTATGGGTTAACAGAGAAAAGTGATCACATTTGCTGGGTCACAAATATACATACAGCAACAAGAACTAGCAATTTTGGTGACTTAGAAACGTGTCAGTGAACTGAGCTTCATAGCATGGCCTCTTAACTTCTTGTGAGTGATTATGAGTGACTACAGCTGGTGACTTCTCTTAGGCCAGGTAAATAGGGCTCATTGGATACAAACGCCCACAAACGCTACAATGGGAAAGTCAAAGGAGCTCAGCATGGATCTGAAAAAGTGAATTATTGACTTGAATAAGTCAGGAAAGTCACTTGGGGCCATTTCAAAGCAGCTGCAGGTCCCAAGAGCAACAGTGCAAACAATTGTTTTGTAAGTATAAGGTGCATGGCACTGTTTCATCACTGCCAAGATCAGGAAGAAAACGCAAGCTATCGCCTGCTGCTGACAGAAAATTGGTCAGGATGGTAAAGAGTGAACCAAGAATCACCAAAAAGCAGATCTGCCAAGAATTAGAAGCTGCTGGAACACAGGTGTCATTGTCCACAGTCAAACGTGTTTTGCATCTCCATGGACTGAGAGGCTGCCATGCAAGAAGGAAGCCCTTGCTCCAAAAGCGGCACCTTAAGGCTCGACTGAAGTTTGCTGCTGATCACATGGACAAAGAGAAGACCTTCTGGAGGAAAGTTCTGTGGTCAGACGAAACGAAAATCGAGCTTTTTGGCCACAATGCCCAGCAATATGTTTGGAGGAGAAAAGGTGAGGCCTTTAACCCCAAGAACACCATGCCTACAGTCAAGCATGGTGGTGGGAATAGTATGCTGTGGGGCTGTTTTGCTGCCAATGGAACTGGTGCTTTACAGAGAGTAAATGGGATAATGAAGAAGGAGGATTACCTTCAAATTCTTCAACATAACCTAAAATCATCAACACGAAGGTTGGGTCTTGGGCGCAGTTGGGTGTTCCAACAGGACAATGACCCCAAACACACATCAAAAGTGGTAAAGGAATGGCTAAATCAGGCTAGAATAAGGGTTTTAGAATGGCCTTCCCAAAGTCCTGACTTAAACCCCATTGAAAACATGTGGACAGTGCTGAAGAAACAAGTCCATGTCAGAAAGCCATCAAATTTAACTGAACTTCACCAATTCTGTCAAGAGGAGTGGTCAAAGATTCAACCAGAAGCTTGCCAGAAGCTTGTGGATGGCTACCAAAAGCACCTAATTGAAGTGAAAATGGCTAAGGGACATGTAACCAAATATTAGCACTGCTGTATGTATATTTGTGACCCAGCAAATGTGATCACTTTTCTCTGTTAACCCATAATAAAGATATTAAAGAACCAAACTTCATGAATGTTTTTTGTGACAAAGAAGTATCTGTTCCAATCACTCTATCAGAGAAAAATCAGAGTTTTAGAAATAACGGGACACTCAGTAGAGCCATTATATTATATTTTTTACAAGTGTATGTAAACTTCTGACCACAACTGTATGTGTTGTTGCGAAATGTCTTCAGGATGGATTTTAATGAAACTCTCAGAAAGGCATCACTGGATGTAAATCTACAACAGAAGGAGCTGATGCTGGTCCTGTTAAAGATGGCTGCCACAGCCGAGTGACCTTAAACACTTAACCATACGTTTTGAATGGTCTTACACTACAAAAGAGTGCCCGAGTTCCTCGGGTGTCTGAGAGAAATCAGATGGTCACATGATGATAAAAATGATGTCCTCAGGGACATCATAAGGTCAGAGGTTGTGTGAACAGTCAGGATGTTGGATTAAGTTTGAACTTACACTTGATTCTGCAGCTCTGCCTCCCAACAGCATGAGCCAGGCAATCCATCAGCGGACGCAGGTGGACACACACACACACACACACACACACACACACACACACACACACACACACACACGCACGCACGCACACACACACACACACACACAAACACGCACGCACGCACGCACACACACACACACACACACACTAGTGCAGCACAAGGAAAACACAGCTGGCTCAGATGTGTGTGTGCGTGGTTGGAATGTACAGTATAAAAACAAATAATCCATTAACTGCTCTCCCTCTTCGTTTCAGACCAGCTTGACGTCCAAACAAACTTAAAAAGGGAAAAAGCAACTTAACAGGGAATTGTAGTAAATGTTAGAATTTTTGATTCACACCCAGAATCCAACAAAGAGCAATGATGAGTTGGAATAAACTTAATAAATTAGCCAAAATAAATAAATAAAAATACATGTTTGTTAGGTTCCTATGCAGCTTTCTTCGCATTTGAAAAATGATTGTTTATCAGAGCTTCTAGCCTTCAATAAAGGAATTTCCAAAAGTGGATGCTAATGTTAAAAGTTTGGGGCTGAAACCCGAGAACATCAGCGGTGAGTTTGTCCAGCTGCACCTGAACTCACACTCATCCAGATGTTGCTCCAGGAAATTTCTGGTTTTTCATATATGACCAGAGAGATGAGTGCCAAAAGATGATCACATGGTCTCTTCATCCTTGTGTGTTTGACTCAGAATCAAATGGTTTAATGGAAGGTTCCCTCCACCCGTATCCCCCTTTTATCAAACAGCCTCCTTCTATTTTTCCACCTGCTTCTGATTCCAGAGAGATTTCAGACCTGCCATCATCATTCAGAACACCATTTACTGTAAGCTACTCGTGACGAGCTTCTCAGATGTTTCTAAATCCAGTTCAATTTAAACCTGAAACTCCTGTAAAATAAAAAAGGTCCTCATCCAGCTCAGTAGGCTTACCGTCATCACAGAGGTTGAGTTTGGACAAGTTGTGTCCTTCATAGGCTTCCTCATACATGGATGCATTCTCTCTCTCCTCATTTGTGCTCAGATACATGGCTTTGTTTTCCATCTCCACCTCACTAAGGACAGAAAAGAACAAGGAGCCGCAACAAAACTCAAGACATCAAATATAACTTAAGAAATGCTTTCCTGCATTTATTTGGATTATAAGAAGAAACTAAAAATTTACAAACACATGCAAGATGTTAAAAAACTTAAATACACACATTTAAGGAGAAACTGATAAGTGTACAGATCAGTGTTGTGCTAGTTCCTGTTTCAACTAATCCAAAGTGAAAATGGTCAGTTCATTAGGGACGTTTCATTTCTAACTTCTTATGTAAATATATTTTATACTTTTAAGATGTTTGGCATTTTGAGGAACTTTAGGAGTTTTTACTTTTTTAAAGTGAACTCTTAAAGAGCAAGTCACCCCTGTATGAGTGCTTTAAGAGCTCAATATATATGTTACCTCTACTTATGACCAATAAGCTGTGATTATTATAAGGATGATAGGTGGAAGCTTGAACCTTGAGGAGAGAACAATATTGTTGACAATTCGTTATCATGTGTTCAGAGCTGCAGAGAGGCTCTGAGCTCCAGCTGATGGGATGAAGGCAGGCTGATTTAAAGGGACACATGCAGTCTTGTGTCTCAATTTTGACCAGATGTTGAATGGTCAAACTGTACCTAAACTGACCATTGCTGGACGTTACACGCCCTACCAGATTCTTACTTCACTCCCACTTCTTGTTTGAAAAATGCAACAAATGCTGTTGCCTAGCAGACCAAGAGGGCGGAGCTGCTAACAAATACACACACACAGGCTCACAACGACATTGTGACATCATATGGTACCAGCTATGTTCTAGGGTACCTCTTAGCCAATAGCAATGGAAGATTTAAATTCCAATTGATTTTTTTCTTTTTCTTCTTCCGGCTCTTGGAGAGTACAGACGCTTTTTTCTCCTCTCCTCCCTATCTTATCCCAAGGCTCTTTTTCTGTCTCTGGGTGTACGGTGCTTCTGCATTTTTTCTGGAAAACTGGAAACTGAAATTACTAAAATGGACCTGGTCAGTTGATCTCTCAACGCGATTGACAACATTTTTTCAACGATGAGAACGGGAGAAGGGGCTCCCTCTGGGACACAGCCAGTTGGGCATATCATGGACCCCCTGGAAACAGTGGAACTTGGCCTGCCTGTCTCAGCTGTCTGTAGAGGATTCTGAAGACGTCTGGATATTCATGGTGTTGATGTCAGGTTTCATGCTCTTTGGCCTGGGAGGTTACCTGGCTTACTGGAAAATTAACGAGCTGTCGAGGAATATTGGCTCAATCCCGGAGCTCAGAGATGGATTACACCACGCTGTAAACGCACAAACTCATATAATTGTCGAAGTGAGTCGTAAGCTTGGAACTTTGGCTGAGATTCAGACTCTGGCACAGAAGATTGATTCAATCAAGGAGGGAGTTGACGGATCAGCACAGATTGGGATCGATTAATTATGACATTAATGGCTTTAGAAGGGTTGGAGACCAACAGAACACTAAGGCAGAGAGGAAATTATCTCTGTCTGTCCCCAAACAATTCTTATCTGAATCTGGTGCCCTTGGAGCCTGTGCGGCTGAAGCAAATACCCCCCCCCCCCCCCCCCCCCCCCCCCCCCCCGAAGAAATGTGGAATGCTGCCGTCGCCATGGCAGCTCTGTCTTCCTATCCCAGCCTGGGTGGGACTGCGACCGGAGAAGGCCGCTGAATCGTTCCAGGAGTCACTGTGCTCTCTAAATCCTACGACCCCCCCCCCTCCAAACGGAGGTGACGAGCGCCGCTAGTGGACACTTATGTTGTGTAATGTCTGAAGTCTGTTGCATTTCTGTCTGAGGTGTTTTTTTGCATGGCAAAGCTGCCCTCCCTGTGGAGGGTAACTCTGAAGTGCCTTTTTTTTCCTCCACCTGACTCAATCCTCATGTAACCCCTCTGTTCTCTATTAAGGTAGCGCGACTCGGGTTGTGAATGACCACAGTCACCAATTCTTGTCATGTGTCTTTGCCTATGTATGTATGTCTGATCTCAGAATTGTGTGTACTGAAACTCTAATTTCCCCCTGGGATTAATAAAGTATCTTTGAATTGAATTGAATTGAATTGAATTGAAAATGCAATGCAGAGTTTTTACCTGACAATGGCACAACACTGACAGTTTTAGGCAGAAAATTAAAATTTCAACTAAAATCCACTTAAGTGCAAAACTATTGACTACACGTGTCTGCAGCACAATTAGACACGCATTTATGTAGTTTATCAGAAAAAAATGATGATTTGGGGGTGACATGCTCTTTAAGTTTACCTCATCGTATAGATACTTTACTCTCAGTTTAAACCAGGAAGACTTAGAGCTTTTACTGTGTGATTCGCCATTTGATCTTCTACAGTTTTTGCCTTTCAGCAAAGACCTCAAAAATTGAAAGGGATACTTTGCAACCTTGTTCATATTTTTAAGTTATTTTCTTGAGTAGTATGTGCTAAAACGTTCCTTTACAGGGATGATGAAAGGCCACTCAGCCCCTATCTCCCTCTGTGGCCAGAATATTCCACTTGCAACTTCAGACTGGCAGGCCACTCTGTTGAGCTGACATACCTGACAACAGGCACAGTATATGCAAAAAAATTACAGTTGGCACTAATGAGATGCCAATTTGGGGAGGATGGCTTAACCATGCCCTATCCAGGCTTTTGCAATAGCTTAGCAGAGCTGAATAAAAGGAAGAAGCAGCTGAGACAGGAAAATGCATGGAGCTAATAATTGCTTAGGAGGTGTTTTTCATGAGAAAATAACCAAATAAGCTCCAAAAAATTGATTTTACATGATATAATCCTTTTAAATCATATTTTGGACTGTCATAACCCGCTGAAATGTACAAAGTTTAGCATAGAAGAACAAAAATGTGAACTTCATGAAGTAAAGATTCCATATTGTTTATATTTAATTTATGTGTGAGCTTATTCATCTACTGAGCACAGAAAAACTATCCTGATTGGTGATATTTAGTTATCAGGGGGTGTTGGGTTATTGTGGTGTGAGGACTCCGTCTCTGTTTCCTATGATTTATTCTTCTGCCATGATACTTGGACAAATGTTGGTTTAGAGTAAATTCTATTTTGCTTTAAATGCACAGAAGGTTCAGCCACAGAACAAGAATAAAGAAGTTTCTAACCTTTCATACCAATCAGCTGTGAGGAATGTACAGTATGATGTTCCCTGTCAAAGCTTTGCATCAGAGGAGGGGGTTGAAAGGCCAGTTTTCCAAACATGGAGGAGTATTTAAATGTCTAAATGGAAACTGAAGCTGTAGCCATGATCTCATATGATAAAAAGGGCCACAAATCCAGCTAACCCTTTCAGACTTTCTGAAATGCTGAAATGACCTTTAACCCTTCCTGGAGTTTTACAGTGAGAGTGTTTCCTTCAGCTGAACATACAGTACCTCGGCGACAAAGTTTTTACAGTTTCCTTTTTAATGACACTTTACAATAAGGGTCCATTTATTAATGCTACTTGGTGCATTATTAAGCATTAATAAACTATTAAATAAAGTATTAACAACTGCTTAATATTAATGGTTATAATAAGCAATGCAGAATGTTTTTGTACTCTCTGGGTAAATAAACAGGAAAGTTATTGGGTCAGAAAAAGCCAGTTTCATCTACATGGCATGGAAAATTGGAATTTATGGCCCCGCCCACCTCGGCTTGCAACAGCAAATGGCTGCTTTAGATTTGCAGCTATGTGACAGTGGAGCGTGTCTTGGCTAGTAGAAGCTAACCATTAGCAACTCCACAACAAGGCGGAACACATTCGGGCTTGTGTTGTTTGTGGAGATGAAACATCAACGTTGTATTTTGTACCTGAGAAAGATGAGCGAACGAAGGCAGTAGAAGAGTTTCGTTGCTGTTTGCCAGTCAGAGGCGAGGTGTTTGCATATCATGAATATTAATGAGTAAAACCCATTTTATTGAAAATTCAAGTGAACGAGAGCTTAAAAAAGATTTAAGCTTTAGTCAAGATTTAAACTTTATACTTAAAGGGAAAGAAAACATGAAATTGGTCAGTTATCATAAAGGGTAAGAATAAAGCTAAAGAAGCTCCTCATCTAGCTGAGGCACGCCCTCAGCTAAAAGAAAGTCGCATTTCAGCGCGTTATGTCTGCCATTTGCATTACGCATCTCTTCCTACCCTGAGAGGGTGTTTTCTCTCTCTCCAGTTTGAACAGGGTTTCCCACGCTGTGTGTGATCTGAACCAAACACGAATAAAGTAAAAAGGGAACATAAGACAAATAGATAAGTCTTAGGTCAGAAAGGGTTGTGTCAGGGATAAAATGAGAACTCAGTCGGCTCTGTGAATGTTTGACAAAGTGGTTAAAAAGCGCTCAGTCAGGACTTTTTCATTAAAGAGGGGAAAGGAAAGTTGACATTTAGACCAAATATCCAGGAATCGGCTGCTAGGAGATCCACTGAACACTTCTTGCAAGTGTGTGTGTGCACGTTCATGTGCGCATACGGTGTGGGTGAGTGTGCAGTGATTACCTTCTCTAATCATTTAGTCTGTCTCTCTGACAGCAAAAGATGGTGGGAAAGCAAAGCAATCCACATCTTAGTCTCAGCGCCTTTAGCTTTCTGGCCAACACGTTCCTGGAAACGCTACATGACATAAAAGTACGAATACGTGCGCAACAACCTGGAAATGGGACATAAGTCCAATGAGTTTAGTTTATAACTGGAGCATCGCTAGAGTAAACAAATTAAGTCTTTTGGAGGACATTTCTGAGCCGATGACATTTTCCACCCATCTTTAAGTAAAGCAGATAAAAGTTGTTGCAGAAACGCTGCAGCTGCTCCGCTGAAATTTGAGTCTGTTGTCTATCACCCAAAGCGAGACAGCTCACTGGACTGAGGGAGAAACTGGACTCATAAAAGTAGACGAGTCAGTCTCTGACCTCTCCACATGGGGCAACACAATTATCTTGTCGGTTGTTCCCCCTCCCTAACAAAGCATCTGATTGTCTGGCAGGTCAGAAGGAAGCGATGTGAGTGTGTGGTCTCAGCTGGAAGGCAAAAACTGGATCAGATTTGCACAAAAATCTCTCTTATATTAATTTTTCAAAGTAAAAGTCCTTAAACTCTTTAAATTACCAGTGTGCAGGTTTTTATAAGTGTTACAAAGCATCGTCTCCCTATGGACATGATGTAAACCTCCCATGTCATTGCTCATTCATTCATGAAGCACATTAACCCATTTCCCCCCTAATTAAAGAGACACTTTACCCATGACCGCTGAAACACAAAGAGATGTTTCTCTGTGGTTGAGTTGCATTAAAAGTGAATTTCCTGTCTTTTGTGGCACGCCGCGAGTAAATCAGCTGATAATCTTCCGTTCAACATACTTGGACAAAGATATAACTACTATAACTTCTTTAAAGGGTCAAAAGTTGAACCTGCTTGATGATTTTTGAAACGTTTTAGATTTATATCACTATTAAAAATGTCTTTAATCTGGTAACACTGAACACAAGGAGGGGATTAGGCATAAGAACCAAGATTATATTCAACCATAAGAGGAAATTTGTCCTCTGGTGTTTTCAGGAACAGGTGACATGCAGGTGCAACACTGCATTAACCTTTTATTTTCTGTTTCAGGTGTATCTATACATACATACATTAATATATATATATATATATATATATATATATATATATATATATATATATATATATAACGACATTTAATAATGTTTAACCCTATAGTCAGGCATCTCCACATTTTTTTAATTTAGTAAAATAAAAGTGTAACTCCACAATCACATAAAATATAATTAAAGTGTAAACTAGAAAAGGTTATTCCTCTCACCTTTTCAGATGTCAACTAGAATAAAGATCACAGCTCAGAGTCCGTTATGATCCCCACTAAAAAGATAAACTGAAAAAGTTAGGTCTTGTCAATTTTACTTCCTCCGTCCAGTCAGCCCCGAAGATGTTTTGAATGTTTTCCTGCAGCATGCAGAACTTCTGTCAGTGTTTCAGAGACAGTCAGCTGCTCTGTAGTGGTGAAGAAACCCAGACATTTGGAGTAATAAACCCACAACATCGTCACGTGACCAAGACAAACTCCCAGCTGATGACTTCTGTTCTGAGTCTGAGGTGAGAATCCTTTTCCCCCAACAGCTGTATTATTGGCGCCCTCTGTTGGATAAAGACTGCAATTCAGTCATTTAGCTGCTTTTTTATTACTTAATGTAAAAAAGCTAGGGCTTCATTTACTAAAATAACAGTTTCAGCGCAATCATGCAGATGACTTCAGGTTCCTTCGTAAAAAACAAAATATAGACAAGATTGGTTGGATAATGAATTTTAGTTGGAAATGTGTTTTATTCATTTATAATGTTTTATTGGATGTTTTCCTAATTTGGAAAACACACAAAAAAACTTAAAGAAAGCAGTTCTGCATAAATGTTGATGTATATCCATTTCATTTATTTATAATTTTGATAATTCATGTTGTTGACTGAGGTGGGGGGATAAAAAGGTCTTGGAGGCTGCATCATTGCAACCAAAACCTCAGGAATTGCAAAGGAGAAAGCCAGGAAGTGTAAGTGCAAAGCTCTGAGCAGCGAGAATGAAACAAAGGAAATTGATAACAAAAATAGATAGAGGCAAACAGAAAAATGAAACATACTTTAGTAATCATTTTAAGGAGTTGATTCAGATAGTAAGTTTTACTTTTGAAACGATTTTTTTCTCTCAATGCCTTGATTTTGTTTGATCTCCAAAGTGTTTTTCTTGATCCTATTGGCACAAATCTAATCCCATATAAATGATTGAGTTCTAGCATTTTCTTAATTTAATCAAATCGACGCTCATCAATTTTTTACTTTCTGAATTTCATTTGAATTGTTTTTGAGATACTTAGCTAAATCGACTTATTTTTAATTGCACACGCATGTTTGTGGCGCTGTCTTATTTTTTATTTTAGCACAAATAAAAATGGAAAAAATACTTATAATATCACTATATCTACCAATTTTTTCCACCTAGAGGCGCAAAAATACTCAGAAATATTAGTTGTATAATAATGATAGAGCATTTTGTGTTAACGACACACTATTAATTTTTGTTTTTTGCATTTGAAGTATTTCAAACAATTATCGGATATTTCTGATTGCTCCTGAAGGCATCACATGGGCGCGGGGGGAAACGGGCGGAGCTTCGAAAGCAACATACCTGTGTTAAAAACGACCTTGATCAACACAGGTGCTGAAAGCGCCTCAAACGCACCAAACTGGAGGTAAATACAAGAATAAACTCCCAATATACAAACGCACGAAGTTTCTATGGTGTTAGTTTGTAATTTGTGAATGTTAGGATGTTTTAATGTTTTAAAAAGACCGTTTTCATCTGTGTAATGCCTGCTGGGCGCGGCCCCGTCTTTCCAAAAGCGTTACAATAGTTTGCGCCAGATCCCCTTGAATATTAATTCAATTTAGTCGCCGTTTTATTTTGCCGCACGAATTCACACAAGCGTTATCACACTAAGACTTGTGAGATGTTCTGCCTTAATTCGGCAAGAGTTTCAGATGAGGTAGTGCGCAGAAAAATAGTTTTTACCTTATTTAGGTGTAAAATAGCCCAAAAAGGAGTTTTATCCTAAATCAGGAACTATAATTGAAATTACTTAAAAGTCAAAACACAAACACTTTTTCTATTATTATTATTATTATTATTATAATTATTATTATTATTGGTGTCAGTTATATTTATTCTTGAAGAGTGTTGTTCTGCAAGAACCCACAAGGTGGTGAGATTACACTGTGATGCTTCAGGTTGAGGATATGTTCAGTTTATTGAACACTGCAGTTTAGTTTTATGTGCATTGATTCATTTTTTATTCCATGAGACCAATACCTTATTGAATGCACAAGCTTCATCTCTGAGATTTGCATGTGAGACAGGTCTCAACTGAGCTGCAGGACATTAATGCTGTCTTCAAACTTATTCAATGCTTCGAGTATTTTCAGAACCAGACCTCGACCCTCCTGCCAAGCTCTGGTTATCGACTTGTTGAGGGAGATGCATTCTGACATCCTGCAAACAGCATGAGAGGGGGCTAGGATGAATTCAGACCGTGGGTACATCGATGTGTGTGTTGGAATTGTGCAAAAACATAATCAACCTGCATGTTGCTGCATATTTGTTCACACATTCTTGGTTAGTTGTAGCTAGGCAGCAGGAATCTAAATTACATTTGCTTCCAGCAAATGAGGCAAGCTGTATATGTCACAGTATACCTCAGTAAAGAAAAACCAGACCCACTGGGATTGTGTGGTCTAAGAAACGCTGTCCTCAGGCATAAAATCAACTTTACAGGCCACCGTGAGATTTTCTTTACTCTCAGCTAAACTCAGAGGGCAAACTCCTCAGTCTCTTTCCTCTGGTCACTTTCTGTATGTCAATTACTCCTCTGGGACCTCGTTACTGTCTCAGCCAATCATGCCTCCGCCTTAATTAACTCAGGAAATTGCACTTTTATATTTACAACCTAATAACCGTCCCGGCCTACTGAAAAGGTCACATCAACTGTTTAGCTGTTTTTGCCCTATAGCCGTGCAGCCCTGGGGGATCGGACTCTGAGAAAATCCAAACAAACCTGAGGGAACGTAAAAAAAAAAGTTTTTTATTTTAATACATTTTCATGACCTCTGAATGTCAGAGTGAGTGGATTTCACTTAAAGAGGAAAACAGCTGAGTTATTAAGGAAGTTGTTGAGTTCATTGCTGGATAATGGAAGGAAATTTTTATCTATACTGTTGAAAACATTAAAAATGACATTTTCCTTACATTTAAATGTATAAACGGACATAAATGTTGTCTGATAAAGCAGCTTAAACATCAGTAAGCTGTATTTTTTTCTGGTATATTTAAATTTTATTGTTATTTTTTAAGAGGAACTTGATTTTACACCGCATAAAAATATAATAATAAACAAAATGTCCTCCCAGATCAGAGGAAGTAAAATTCATACTGATGAGATTAATTGTAACTTAATGTCTTGTTAATGCTACAAGGCAACTCATAAACCTGTATGTGATCAGTTTGAGGCATGTCTGTGTAAAAGTTTCAAACGGTTACTATCAAACCCACTGAAGTTGACTTCCTGAATGAAGCCACTTTGGAGGATAGAGCAGTTTTAATATGGCAGCAGTTCATTTTAGTCCTGGCTGTCCTTAAAGTGAGGGTCAATGCATGGGTGGAGACGTATTTCACCCACACTTCCTGTTAGAAAAACGCCTCTGAAAGAGGTGTCGCCTGGCAGACCGAGAGAGCGGCACTGAGGCAGTGACAGACCGCACCCCCCTCAACCCCCCTCCCTCGTGCGCTGTCGGGAGTGTCTCAATCTAAAAACGAGTTGTTAACGAGCGCGTGCACAATCGCCCGTGCACGCACTCACACAAAACTTACCACTCAGGAGAAAAGCAGACACAGATTCTGCAGCATTCTGGAGGATTTCCTGTTAAACGCGATCATTGGATGAAAAGGGGAGGAGGGCATTTTTTTCAAGGAGGTGAGCGGCACAGAGAGCCAGCGTGTCAAATCGGCAGGTGAATGGCTGAGTCAGGTGGAGACGCGGCTGCCCCACCTGGAGACCAGTGCGGTGCAGCCTCGTAGTACTTTGCTGACGTCATGTTTTTCAGCTTAGCCATCAGCCACAGCTGGTTCTACATGAACGTGGAGCAGAAAATTAACCTGAAGATGGAGATATAATTATGGTTTTGAGCTGAAATATTGAATTTAAAGTAAGTTACACTAAACTGCCACACTAATGATTACACATGTATACAGCACCATTAGACACTCATCTATACAGGATATTAAAAAAAAAGTTAATTTAGGCGTTGCTCTTTAAATTAGCCTTCAGCTCATCAGTCATGTAGGAAGTAAAAGCTATTCCTCTGAATAGAGGCCATTCAGGAAGTAATCTACAGCAGGAAAGATGGTTAGTTTTAGTGGTGACCAGTCGAGAACCATTAGGAGGTGTATTATAGAGATTATCAAGCAATGAATAAAAATTAGGATTATAAATTAAGGGTTTTGGCGGATCAGGAACAGACTAGAATATGTACTTTTTTGTTTTCTTTGCAGATTATTTTTCCACACGTCAAAATTAGCACTCAAATGCTGAAATGAGCCTGAAATTTACATGTTTTTCATGTAATCTGGGTGAAGGTTAGAAGCTGCGTACTTGTTCTGATGTCCGTTTTTATGTTGATGTGGCAGAATCATGAGTCTGTCAAAGCGAACGTCTTCGTGGTCGGTGGAGGAAGTGCTGGAGTGGATTAGGAGCAGCACCCGATGCACATGAACACACTCCATAAATCCATCATCAAACATGATATAGCAGGTAAAAAATCAGGCAATAAACAGGTTTTTACTCATTGTCTGGCTCTTAATGGTAAATGAAATGGGACAAAATGCGTCCAGACTCGAGCTGTGACTACATTTGCAGGCCGTGCTTTGCTGAGACTGAAGGAGCATCATCTGGAGCTTTTTGGGTTGGAGGATGAGGAGCAGCAGCAGAAAGTCCTGCAGGATCTTCTTCTTCTCAAAGTTCAGGAGGAAATCTGTGAACTTGGTGACATCTGCTCTGGTAGGACTCAGAAAACCGCCGATCAGACAAATCTGCTAACAATCACTAGTTTTTATTTGAGTTATTCTCGTATACTTTATATTAACTTCCACAATATAAAACATATAAAATACAACGGTAAAACAAACTCATGGTGAAGTAAAAGCATATTATTGTATCTTTAGCCTGTCATGTGCAGCATCTGCATCCAGTAATGAAAGCATTCATCAAACTTACATCTCCTCTCATCTCTTCCCCAGACTGTTTCCCTCCATAATGGGCCTCAAAACACAGAGAAAAAGGAATCCAGCTTTTTTTTTATTTCCTGTCCGTCCATTCATCCGTGTGAAGGAGATTGAAAGGTGGGAGTGATGGAAATAACAAGAGAAGGTGGATAGAACGAGGGATCGATGTGGAGAGAAGGAAACCCATTTCCTGTGTGAAATTTGACCCGAGCAGATGGATGAGATTAGTGTTTGTCTGGTTCTGATCCCCTCTGTCCTTTCCTCTCTTTGCCTTTAACCACACTAGTATGAATTATCTAAAGTTTTAATCTATTTAATATGAGAAACGGCTCCAGGGTGGTTGAATCTTTTCTTTTTGTGTCTGAGATTGTAAACGTTTCTGCAGCGTCTGATTCAATTTCAATTCAAGTTTATTCATATAGCGCAAAATCACGACAAGTCGTCTCAAGGCACTTCACATAATTAACATTCCAATACAGGCCAGTTCATTAAGCCAATCAGAAAAAAAGTTTCCTATATAAGGAACCCAGCAAATTACATCAAGCAGTCCTTATACTAAACAAGCATTTAGCGACAGTGGAGAGGAAAACTCCCTTTTAACAGGAAGAAACCTCCAGAGGATCCTGGCTCAGTATAAGCAGCCATTCACCACGACTCACTGGGGATCGAGAAGACAGAAAACACACGCACACACAGGCACACACCGGCCAGCTAAACCACCTCTACTAAAACACACACACACATTCACGTAAACCCATACACACACACACCAGACCGGTCCAACGTCCAGAACTTTAGTCATACTTTCTCATACATGCACAGAACGGAACAGAACCGGACAACACTACCTGCAGGTTTTCATACACAGAGACACAATGAGATGAATCACAGGCTGCACAACACAAAATGGGAGGCAGCCCAGCCTACAGAACCATGAATACACAGACGAACGACAAGGGTAAATTATGAACGGTTTGAGTTTCTTTAGCCAATTATAACGATGATTAACTGTAGCGTACCTTTATTGCACCATGAAATATTTAAACAATACAAGCGTTAGTGAGTTTACTTAAGTGATTTTGCACATCCAACCCTATTACGACCCATATTCACTTTCTCAATTCGTCTTGGGGTGTCTGTGTACGCAGACACAGACTCATTACAACCTCCCTCACGTTTACTCTGTTCCCTCAGAGGCAAACGAGAGTCCAGGACAAGGTCCGGCGGCTCTCAGTCCAGCCCTCAGCCGGGGCCCGAAACGTCTTTAGTGTGTGGATAGCAAAAAATCACTACCAGCCGTAACACCACACTGCCGACCAGTTATGAGAAAAAAGGGTGCAATTTAATTTAGGTACTCACTCTTCTGTGTGACAGGCTCGCCTTGAATCTGATTAGCAAGAGCCGTAGGTGGGAGTCCGCCTGTGAAGCTAAAACAGCCGGCCGATGGGCAATTCTCAGCCCCCCGGACTTTGGATGAGGAAGTGGCGCCATTCGGCTATCCAGAGGCGATCTCCCACTGAAAGGCTCTGCTATCCCGGGTTTCGGCACCAAATGTTGGGTAATTTATATTTTCCATAACCCTTTACCTGAAATAAACACACCAAATACAAAGAGGAGTTCATTTTACACTGTCTCACCAAACAGTGGAGAGGAGGCGATGCACAACTCCCTCCGGAGCTGTTTCCATCGTCTCCCCCACCCCTCTCAGCTCAACAGAGGTTTTTATTGAACAATGAGATGGAGGGCGGGCCTTCCTTGAGTTTCAGAGTTACAGACTCATCTCCTAGGAAACCATATTCCAGAGATAACAGCACAACAGGCTTACAGAGGAATCATTTACACAGATGAAATACACACACAATTCCTCAGCTGACCGGTAACTTAATCAACATTCTTCAGAATCAGCTGACCGGGGTAACTTAATCAACACATATTGTTGGACCTTCATCTTGTCTCAGGAAGTTGGGTGATCACAGAGGCCATTCTTCACCACTCTAAAATGTGATCAAAGAAGATCGATGACCTTTCGTTTAAACAAATACTTATCATGTCCTGCAACGTTCTTTAGGCCTCAAAAAGGTACATTAAATACAGGAAAAAACCTTAAATATAGGAAAAAACCTATCAGTGGTGGTGGTAGAGTTTGTATTATCTGTTTAAGTCCTAAAAATATATAGAAGTTGCATTTTTAAACATACTAAAAACTTTTTCTGCTGATATTTTTGTTCGACTTCCCATTTATAAAGTCAAAATGCATTTTGTGTGATTTTAACTGAACTGACACCAAATAACAGTTGTTTTCTTTTTAAACCTAAGTTTAAAAGTACTGGTACTTTTTGTGTTTAAGGTCAAATTTCTTTCGTAATGAGAAAAAAAACAATTCTTTCAGTTTGCCCTGAAAGTTTCATGAGAATTTCTTCCACAAATAGGTCAGCTTCATTAAGGACATGAAAGTATTTCAAGCATCCATTTGATTATGCACTGTGTTTTAAAGGTTATGTCTGTTTTAAATATTTCTTTTGCTTAAGTCCTTTAAATAAAGAAGTTCTGCTTTTGCAGCACAACCCAGCAGCTTTATTTTAGGCATCATGTCTTTAAGGCAACGACAGCAGAAATGTAATCATAAATCATTTGTCGCTTTGCAGCTGCAGATCCTCATAAGTATTCCTCTAAACTTTCTTGTTTTGTGTCTGGTTGGAAGTGTCTTTGGGGACGGGCAACTGTTAAAGATCTACTGCTGAAGGTCATAATAGTGAAAACGTCTTAATGTGCAGCTTAAATCAAGAGTCAGGTGTTGCAAAAGCTGAAAACTGCAGAGAAATTGAGCAATAAAAGAGTCTGACTGGATCACGTCCTCTGAATCAGACTCATAAAATCTGGGCAGACTTTTAGAGTGGTACTTTTAATGGATTTGACTGCCTCAGTCATAGGAGTTAAACGTTTAATGTGTCTAAATAAGGAATAAATACATTAAAATCTAGAAAAGATTGTTTTTATTGTCATTTATGTTCATTTTTAGTCAGAAAAAATATTTCTCCCAACCACAATGTTATAAAACATTATACAGGTGCTGGCCAGTAAATTAGAATATCATCAAAAGGTTGAAAATATTTCAGTAATTCCATTCAAAACGTGAAACTTGTACATTATATTCATGCAATGCACACAGACCAATGTATTTCCAATGTTCATTACATTTAAATTTGATATTCATAAGTGACAACTAATGAAAACTCCAAATTTGGTATCTCAAAAAATTAGAATATTCTGAAAAGGCTGAATATAGAAGACACCTGCTGCCACTCTAATCAGCTGATTTACTCAAAACACCTGCAAAGGCCTTTAAAAGGTCCCTCAGTCTTGTTTTGAAGGCACCACAATCATGGGGAAGACTTCTGACTTAACAGCTGTCCAAAAGACAATCATTGACACCTTGCACAAGGAGGGCAAGACACAAAAGGTGATTGCTAAAGAAGCTGGCTGTTCGCAGAGCTCTTTGTCCAAGCACATTAACAGACAGGCGAAGGGACGGAAAAAAATGTGGTAGAAAAAAGTGTACAAGCTCTAGGGATAACCGCACCCTGCAGAGAATTGTGACGACAAACCCATTCAAAAATGTGGGGGAGATCCACAAAGAGTGGACTGCAGCTGGAGTCAGCGCTTCAAGAACCACCACGAGGAGACTCATGAAAGACATGGGATTCAGGTGTCGCATTCCGTGTGTCAAGCCACTCTTGAACAAGAAACAGCGCAAGAAGCGTCTCGCCTGGGCCAAGGACAAAAAGGACTGGACTGATGCTGAGTGGTCCAAAGTTATGTTTTCTGATGAAAGCAAGTTCTGCATTTCCTTTGGAAATCAAGGACCCAGAGTCTGGAGGAAGAGCGGAGAAGCACAGAATCCACGTTGCATGAGGTCCAGTGTAAAGTTTCCACCGTCAGTGATGGTGTGGGGTGCCATGTCATCTGCCAGTGTTGGCCCACTCTGTTTCCTGAGGTCCAGGGTCAATGCAGCCGTCTACCAGGAAGTTTTAGAGCACTTCATGCTTCCTGCTGCTGACCAACTTTATGGGGATGCAGACTTCACCTTTCAACAGGACTTGGCACCTGCACACAGTGCCAAAACCACCAGCACCTGGTTCAAGGACCATGGTATCCCTGTCCTTGATTGGCCAGCAAACTCGCCTGACCTTAACCCCATAGAAAATCTATGGGGTATTGTGAAGCGGAGGATGCAATACGCTAGACCCAACAATGCAGAGGAGCTGAAGACGACTATCAGAGCAACCTGGGCTCTCATAACACCTGAGCAGTGCCACAGACTGATCGAGTCCATGCCACGCCGCATTACTGCAGTTATTGAGGCAAAAGGAGCCCCGACTAAGTATTGAGTGCTATACATGCACATTCTTTTCATGTTCATTCTTTTCAGTTGGCCAACATTAGAGAAACAAACATTTTTTCATTGGCCTTTAGAATATTCTAATTTTCTGAGATACCAGATTTGATGTTTTCATTGGTTGTCACCTATAAATATCAAATTTAAATGTAATGAACATTGGAAATACATTGGTCTGTGTGCATTGCATGAATATAATGTACAAGTTTCACGTTTTGAATGGAATTACTGAAATATTTTCAACCTTTTGATGATATTCTAATTTACTGGCCAGCACCTGTATGCACACATGTTTATATAAGTATATGTATCTGAGCTGCTTTATTTGTATGCTGCCACTAATATTTGTAAGGTTGACCCAGGAACATGCTTGAAAATGTTAGAAAATTTCCCTTTAATGTAAAAAATGTGCTTTTAAAATCTGATCATGTGAGGCTGGGATGTGGGAGGAGTGTTGTGGCTGATGTGACCTTTCCTTTCTTGTGCCTGAGTCTGAGGGTTTGTGTGTCTGACTGTGATTAATACTTCAGGAGACGCTGTGGCATTTGATTTGGCGGGGGCGTGGCCGGGCAGCGCCGACTCAGCATCAGCATAAATTCGTCTGACTACCAGAATGGAGCGATGATGAACAGCTGTGCTGCCCTCGATGGCAAAGCTGAAATGAGACATGTAGAGGGAATATAAAAAAATAAACTAATACAAACCATTTTGGAAAATCAGAGTATCTGCTTAAGTTTGAGTTGGGATCCCACTGAGGGCCATGAAACACCCGGCGGGGTGTAAAGGATTCGGCCGTGATGAAGTCCTGCAGGATTTATGTTTTATAAAAACTGGGTTTAGTTTTTAGTAAAGCAAACCAAGAACAACCTGGAAGACTAACATAGCCTTTCCACCATATGCACTAGATGTGTTTTAAGCATCGACATATATACTGGACAATTTGTGTCCATAGGCTCCAATTATAAGTTTTTGTACCAAAATGGGAGGTGGCCACCACAGTCATTTTGACCGTGTCACAGCTTCCGTCAAGCCCAGACAATTCCTTAAAAGGAAAAAGAGGTGGAGCTGAGGGTGGGGCTGTAAGGCTGGGATCAAATGACTACTCCAGTCGAACTGAAGCGATGTAGCTACAAGCTAACCTGAAGCGAACTCAAAGTTAATGTGGAGGTGGGAGCTAAGCTAACGGAGGTAGCTACCTAGCTACAACCGGAGTTAACTGTGCACAACACCAGAGCTTCTGAGTCAGAGATAAGCCAGGCTGACCGCTGGGGAGAACCGGGCGGAACACAGAGGTTTCCCGAGAGCTCCACAAGCCGGCAGCCCGCGCAGCAGAAAGGTGTAGCTGCGATCAGAGATGTGTTGAGCTGCCGCTGAGGGGAGGGGATCATGCTGATAGACGGAACCCAGCACCACCAACATGTTGGGTTTACCCTATTACATTTAAATTTCATGGTTAAACAGTACATGTTAAAATCTAAGCTCAGCTCGGCAGCAACCTAAAATACATAAATATAATTTTACTTACTGAAATAAATGAAGCAGAGAATCCTTGGACGCTCTATTAGTGCAATTAATGCCACAGCAAGTCATTTTGTCCAACAATTGCACAAATATTATCCAAAAAGAATGCACAAACGCTACAACTAATGGTCTAAGTTGAGAGACTGAAAATGGCGGAACAGTTTTCAGGCGAGGCCGAGACTCAGGCTGAGGCCTTTTCCCGGAGCTAGCTCTGCGGTCACGTGGGTCTGATGCTCATTAATTATACAGAATTTTAGGCTTTTAACACACTTAAACAGAAGAGTGAGAAAACATTCACCCCCTGAGTTGTCATGAGTTTGTAAACTAGATCTATTAAACCTAAAACGTTTTGGAACCAGGCTGTAAACAGGTTTATTTCTGCTGTGAAATTGGTATTTTTAACATAGGAGTCAATGAGGATTTGCTTACTTCTGACACCAGCCCCTAGTGGATGAGGGTGGAACTGCAATTTTAGTCACTTCCACATTGGCCTCACTTTTGGACCTGAATTGTGGGGGCTTGGTTCTAAGCTCGCATCACAACATGATTTTCAGACGTCCGAGATGATTCCTATAACAAATAATGGTGAACCAGAAGGTGGCCATCCGGTGCGACCGGCTCGGTGACCGCTTAATGAACACCTTCACGACCCAAATCGGCATCCAACAGTCTACAAGCACTAGTTGAAAACCTATTACTCCCGTCTGAAATCGACCTTCACGACCCAAATCGGCATCCAACAGTCTACAAGCACTAGTTGAAAACCTATGACTCCCGTCTGAAATCGACCAATGATGATACACCCTGGGATTTGTGCGAATAACTAATGGCGGGAGTACAATATAAGAGTCAGGGCTGCCAACTGTCACACATGGAGATCAAGCCACACCTCCAGTACGTATATATACCCTTACCGCTCTCACGCATAGAAATGTGAAGTAGTTGGCAGCCCTAAAGGGTTGGATTAGCAGCAGTGGAAGCTACACGCAGGAACGTTTTTGGGATTACGTTTCGGAGTCTAATAAAGGAAGTGTTAATGGGGGCGCCTTTTTCTGTTTCCAGCCTTGTTGTTCTGTTAGCTGTCTGCTTTTAGTGATGTATGCTTCTCAGGCTCCTGACGTTGGTTTGCCATGCTCGAGAGAGACATCGTGCAGTTTGGCTGACTGAAATCTTGCGTCGTACGATGTGCCACCCCTCTCAGTGTGGCATGAGCAGTCCTGTGTGACTGCTGAAAAACACACAGCGTGGTCCGAGCTCAGCAGCGTGACCCTTCCCACTGGACAACAGCCTGTATACAAGTCTAGTGTGTTTTCTGTTGTGTTTACTTCAGTTATGGAGGCGTACATATTTTTTATTTATTTTTACTAGTTAAGCAATCGGAAATCTGCACGTGCGTTTTATTTTGAAAGTTGCCGAGTGTTTTACACTGCTTTAGTGTTTGACTTCCTGTCTGTCTGGAGCTTGTTGCGTACTGGAAATGTAACGTACGTTTAACAGAGACGCTCTTCTGGGACGTCTCCAAAACTATGGCGTTTAAAGCGTGCCACAACCCGTGCACGCGCATTGGGTCCACAGCGCGCGTGTGAACGGGACTCGCGAGCGGAAATATACATGGCGAGAGGTCATTTGTGCACTGAGAGGGAGCAAACTGTGTCTGTGAGCGCACAAGGATGTGCACAAGTGACAAACCTGCGTGCGCGCGTTGTCAACGAGCACACGGCAGAGGAAAACGTGCGCGCGCGGCAGCCTCTGTGCGCGCTCGGCAGCCTCTCTGCGCGCTCGGTTTCTGACTCCTGCTCGCTCGGCTGTAAGGGTTTTGGCACTCTGGAGGCGTGGCCTGTGGCAGATCTCCTCTTTCCTCTGATTGGTTAGTGTACCCCGCACTTTACCCTCTACCTATCTATATAAAAAAGTCTACTAGTCAAGTAGTTGCTGGCATAGCTTAGTTGGAAGAGCGGGTGACTCTCGCCCCGGAGGATCCGGGTTCGAGGCCGGGCAAGGAAAATGCAGTAGATGTCATGTTAATTTTTCTTAATTTCAGGTATTTTACAGTTGTGACCGTT